AAGAACCTCTTTGAGAAGGTGACAATTAAAGAGCAAAATGACAAAAAGAATATTCCAGGAAAAAGGAGTATCTGGGATAAGACCTTTAAAACAAGAGCAAATTCAAAGTGTTTGAGGAACAGTAAAAAGGCTGGTGTGACTGGAGTCAGGTAGACTGGTGGGAGATGATGTTGAAGAGGTGGTTTGGGAAGCCACATAGAGCTCTGCAGGCCAGGAATGGGGACTTGACCTTATTCCAAGTGCAATCAGGAAGATACGAATGGATTCTAAGAAGAGAAGATGTATGATCTGATTTATGATTTATGCCACTCGAGCTGTGCTGTGGAGAAAGGGACAAGAGCAGGAGCAGGAAAACAATTTAGAAAGCTATTATAGGAGCACAGAAGAGAGATGGTGGTGGTTTGTATTAGGGTGGTAGCAGTGGAGATAGAAAGAGACAGATTTTGGAAAGGTTTCCGAGGTAGAGTTGACCTGAATTCCTCATGGATTGGATGTGAAAACGGGAAAAGAGAAGAATCAAGAATGTCTACATGCTTTTTGGCTTGAGCAACTACTGAATGGTCATGCCATTTAATTTGAAGAAGACTAAAAGAATCATGAATTCTGTATTACTGTAGTGTTTCCTTCTTTTCCTATACAGCGTTAACCTCGCAGACCATGAATTTAACTACTCTCTTCCCAGCACCTTTATTTTCCTTCCCTACTTGCCCTTGAGTCCTTCTTATCTAAAGAACTTCCTCTGTCTGCTTCCTCTGCTCCTGTCCACTCCTCAACCCACTGCAGCCTGGTTACTCTCCCCATTTTACCAATAAACTCCCTCTTGCCGAACACACCGATGACCTCCTTGTTGCTAAACCCAGGGACTTTTCAGTCCTCACTTTTCTTGACCACTCTCTAGCATTTAATACTGTTGATATTTCCTCCCCTGGCTTCTCTGCAACCACTTGTTCCTGGTCCTCCTACCTCTCTGTACCTCTCTATTCTTCCCCTTATTCTTATCTTTCTTTCCTTATTTTTTAAATATTGCTATTTTCATAGGGCTCCATAGTAGGTCTTTTTTTCCTATACCTTCTCTCTAGGGGATTTCATCTACTTCCATGAACTATCACTTATTCTGATAACTCCAGCATAGATCTCTCTCCTGAGTTCTAGACACCCCCTGTTCAATTATGTAGTAGACAGCTTCACTGAGACATCCCATGGACCCGCCAAACTCAACATGTTTAAAATTAAACTCATTTCCTTCCCTCTACAACCTCCTTGTCCTTCTGAGGTCCCCATCTTGGTAAGTGATACCACCATCCTCCTATTTACCTAAGCCATAAATCTCCTCCCATTCTTTAATCCTGCAGAAATAACCAGTAATCAAATTCAGTTGGTTTTACATCCTTAATATATTTTGAATCCTTCTCTTCTCTCCATTTCCATTCTTGCTGCCTTAGTTTAGACATCCATCATTTCTTTCCTATAATGTTAAAACAACCTCCTAACTAGTCTCCCTGCTGACAGTGTTACTTAATAAATTCTCCAAACTAGAGTGATCTTTCTAAAATGGACATTTGAACACTTCACTATGTTCCTTAAAATCCATCAATGGCTGTCCATTGGCCGTAAGATAAGTTCAAACTTCTTAGGAAGACACATGAGACCTTTCACAATACAAGACAATGCTCACCTTGCTGGATGTATCCTTCAGGGCTTTCACCACGCATTCACACAATGTATTTACTGAGAACCTACTACAGTACTTGCTGGGCACTGTTCTTCACCCTCAACTCATTGGGAACATATTTTTACTTCAAGGTCTTTACACATAGTCCTTTGTTTGCCTGGAATACCTTTCCCTTTAACTTGCCCACTTGTATGGCTTATTTCTAATTATCCTTCAAAACTCATCTCAAGATTCATCTTCTGTGGTTGGAGACCCTGACTACACCCAGTCAGGCAGGTGTAGGTACCCTCCCTGTGAGCTCTCCTGAAGATATCTTCTCCCTGTTGTATGATCAACTGTGGACTCATCTGTCTCCTTATTATACTATAAGTTCCTTCAGAGGAGAGATTGTGTCTTATTCATGTTTGTATTCCCAGTGCCTACCACGGTACCTGACACGGAACAAGCACTCAACAATGAATAGATAAAGTGGCAGAGTTGGGTTTCAATGCCAGGTCTTTTCTCTCTGGTACAAATCTCACATTTCTTCATACTATTTCTTAATATCTTGAATCTGAAAAATTCTAAAATCTGACCTAGGTATATTTTTGCCTAGTACCTGACATGGAACAAGCACTCAACAATGAATAGATAAAGTGGCAGAGTTGGGTTTCAATGCCAGGTCTTTTCTCTCTGGTACAAATCTCACATTTCTTCACACTATTTCTTAATATCTTGAATCTGAAAAATTCTAAAATCTGACCTAGGTATATTTTTGCCTATCACTAATTAAAATACAGGTAAATAGGTTATTAGCTCCATGAGGAGTCAGTTGATTATTTCTTGTTATTATTTCCTTCCTCCATCCTTCTAACACTTTGCTCATCAAAGTACTTTGGGTTAACTACACCTAAAATGACTGAAATGTTGAATGAATGAGTTATTCAATTATATGCAGTAAACTGGTGGCATTTTACCACCTCCCCAAATAAATAAAAAATAAAATTACTGAAAGACCTTTCTCTACACTTTTTCATCCATTTGTACCTCTTATGTCATTGCTTCCCCCACATCGTCAAAGCAAGGAGAGAGTAAGTACATCGGGAGCAAGGTAGATTTTATACGTCTGGCAACTGACACTAAAAACTGATGCATCAACCGCAAATCATCTCCTCTTATCATTTCCTCCAAGGGCTCAATGGAGAGGTATTAAAGGTTCAGTGCTAAAATTTAACATTGCAAAATTCAGCTAAAATTGAAATTTTGTGTAGTGAGTTCAGTCTAACCACAGAATTTTGTAAATGAAGTAATCTTAGAGATCCATCAGTCAAGCACTTTCATTTAATCTTCCATGAGGAAACTGACATGAGAAAACCTACAATGATTCACCCAAGGTCATCCAGTCTATAAGAGAAGTGGGAGCACATTTCCTGATGCTCAGTGGCTGATATTTCCCTAATGCCATATACATCCTTTTCAAAGGGCTTTATGTTCCATCTAAACAGATTATCTACATCAGAACAAATCTAACTATTTACACAGTGCTTATGTTAACAATATTGCTTTTGTGATATCCTTGTTATAAAGAGGAAGGAACTGGGGAAAAAAATGCAAGGTTGACTTGTCCAGGGACATAGGGGAATTGGTAAAACAGACAATTAGTACACAGAGCGATGGGGTTTCCTACTTGTAGTGTAGCCTTGTAATCACACTCTGTTCTCTGAGTGCCACAATGTTAACCCAAGCTTATTTGTCTTTCCTGGGCCTGGATTCCATTACATTCTATGCCTTATTTAGTCTAAATGGTTTCCCCAACTTCAATGTGTATTTTTTGTGCTTTCTTTTAGAAATATCATACTTAAATGTATTCTCTACTTGAGTTTGTTTTAGTTTCAAAGAGGAGGAATGAAGATTCTGGGTAAAAGAAATAAAGATGATGAGTTTTTCTAGGCTTTACATTTCAAGAATGGTTTTCTCAAATGGCAACTGGCAGTCTACTTTATTCCTCCAATGATGACGTTTTCCATGGGAATTAGAATTTAATTGGGATAATTTGTTTTCAACGGAAAGCAAAGATTTCTTTCCAAGAGGATCATTTCGATAATGTTTTACCAGCTAGTGCTACGAGACCAAATATAAACCGGTTCTGAGAAACAGGAAGTGAACCTGGCTGGTCTAGTCTGAGTGTCCCTGGCAGTGACGCAAATACAGAATCAAATTAGGAAAACAAGATATGTGGGTGTTAGGCAATCAATAATAATCCAGGATGCTACAACATAAGCAAGAATGCCTTTAACCAAATGCCATTCATTTTAATAACACCCTGAGCAGTTTGATGTTCATGTAACACGTCGGTGATTAGAGCGCAGGATGAGCTTGAGTTCCCTAGCAACAGCATGTGCTTTTGAGACAGTCATTAGCCTTTCAGTTAATCCCGTCAACCCCTTACCTCTAAATGTATAACTGACATTAAAAAATGATATTTTAAAAAGGGCTTCGAAATTTCTAAGAGTGAAGGGGAAAGGAATAATAATAATAAAAAAGTTCTTCTGAGAACTGCACTCAGGTGAAAGAAGTCATGTTGCTCTGTGCCCAGCCTGTCCCTACGTTCCACTGCTCTCAGTTCTCGGTTTCTGAATCCCCTAAGGGTAAAGGGCGATGGAGGTGAAACTGTTCAGAGGTGAAGGCAGTCTCCTCATCCCACATGAAGCACTATTGCAACGTCTCTCACAGGTGGGGTGGGCGGTTTGTGTGGAGGGGAGGCTGATAGCCGGGTCGGGAGGGAATATAACACACGTATTCTTTCTCCCTAGTGGAAGGAGCTTGGGGAAGGAGAGTGGTGAGAGGAACGAAGCTTTTTTTCCTATTGATTGTTTAATTGCACCAAAGGCTGTCCGTCCAAGGCCACTGGCCAAGAGCATTATCTTCGTGGCTAAAGTGAGGTTGGGCAGATTTCCCATCCCCTTCCCTAGTTTTAAACAAGACAACCCTGAAAGCGCAGCAAGGCTGTAGGCATCTGGCGTCTGTTGGCTTTTGCTATTCGGCTGTATTCTAAAGCGCCAGGGCTGATGGGATGATGTTTCTTAAACCCTGAATCATTGCCTCCAGCCTGTCTTGGGTTCGGGATGCACAACTCCACCCTCTGTGTAGCCTGGGTCAACTGCGGGGCGTTATTCCATTAGTAATGATTGCTGCGTTGGGCTGGTTGTTCTTATTGTGTCCCGGGTCCCTTTCAGCTGGACACTGGCTCCTTCAGTTGGACTGGGGTGACTCCCAATGCTCCCCACCGCCCACCTACCCCCCCTCCGCGCTCCCTTCCCAAGGCGACCACCTGCGCCACCCCACTTACCATCTGCCCCGCGGGGAGGGCCCCCCGGGGTAGCAGAGCCCTCCCTGCTCCCGGGCGGCTCTGGGGGAGCTCGGTGTTTGCCTCCAGCCCTTCGCTACCGGAGGATCAGGTTCCTCCCCTCCTCCCCCTCGAGCTCCGGCCGCCGCCGCCGCCGCCTTCTTGCATGACACAGCAGAACCGCAGCTGCTGCAGCAAGTCCAAACCATCCGCCCAGGAAGCGCCGCAACCGGGACGCGGGAGGGGCGGAGGGGGCGAGGCAGGGGCCACAGCACGGGGGGATGCTTGGCCCCACTTTGCACCAACCACACACTCCTTTCCCAGCCCCGGGGCACGCGAACAAGATGAGGCTCCAGCTGACCAGGCCAAGCCGAGGAGGAATGCTGGGGCTTGGCTGCAGAAGGGATGGGACCAGAGAGAAGGGTGTGAAGGAGAACCCCAGTAAGGGGCAGCACGTTTCAGGTAAAGAAGGTAAGAAAAAAGAGGCCCAGAAGTCAAGGGCCAGACTGTGAAGGAGATTAAAGGAGGTCAAAGAGAGGTGAGGAGGTAGAGTTGCTGAGAAGAGACATTGAGCTAGGAAAGGAGTGGGGGCGGGGAGGGAGGATTTGGGGAGGCCTGAGCTAAGCATCCAGGCAGAGAAGGGGCTGAGCTGGGAGGCAAGGGCGAAAGGGGGAAGGGGCAGGAGACAGGCAGGTAAACCTTGGGGACGTATTACAGAATGAGAAGGAATGTAGTGGAGCCCATTCATCATGGCTGATGAGGTAAACTGATGAGGTGGGAGGAGATATATTTAAGGCGAAGCCAAGAGAAGTGATGATCTCCCATCACACTCGTCAGTTTCCTGCGAAGTTATTTTTTTTTTCATAATTCCGCCAATCCAAACAGTTTTCCTTATAAAATAGAAAAGCATCAACAAGGACATATATTTAAGGCGAAGCCAAGAGAAGTGATGATCTCCCATCACACTCGTCAGTTTCCTGCGAAGTTATTTTTTTTTTTCATAATTCCGCCAATCCAAACAGTTTTCCTTATAAAATAGAAAAGCATCAACTAAAACACAGAAATAGCCATCCAGCTTAGATTTACAGGATAAAATCGCCATGGTCCCTAAAAACTTTAAGGCAGAGATTTAGGTACGAACCCCTAGAAGGGTTGTGAGTAATACCGACAGCACGCAAAACTCTTACAGTTTCCACTCGTCACTGGACTTGAGTCAGTCTTGCAAAGTGTTTGTTAAATGTTGAGTTAAATGCTAGAAGTGATGACAAAATTAGTGGTTCAAAAGATCATTAACATGCACGTGCTTTTCGCTTTCTCTCTCTGTACATACATACGTATACGTATCTATAGTTTCTAGTGCCTGGCATGTACTGTGTGATTAAGGTATAAATATGTTTTTCTCATTATTTTATTTCCCACCAAACGCGCTCCACACAGTTTACAGCAGACCGGCTTCTTGTCACCATTTGAAAGAATGTGGTCAGAAAGGTAATGCAAAAACTGCCACTTTGGTTTTGTCTGTACCTTCCAGGTCATATCTTCGTACCTCACTTCCTGACACAAACAAGTTTTTACTGTTGTCAGCAACAAAGCCCTAATATAGCTGCGGAAGAGAAAAACTGCATTGCATTTTGCCTCCTGCAAGCATCATCAACACAGTTACGGAGGAATGTAATTCCAGAAAGCCTGAACGCTGGTGGTGATGGTAATTATGTATCAACAGACTGATTCTATTTCTGTTATTGTTTTTTGTCATTTCTCTTGTCCCGGCCATCGGACTGAACTCGCAGAGGGATAAATCCGGTTTTTCTTTTCGACTTTGCAAAACTGAATCAGCCCTGATAGAAAACTCATGGCTCTTGGGGGAAATAAAGTAGGAGCCACGAAATGTCATTTTAACAGAGCGTGGGTTTGGTGACTGTAGGAAAGGATCTGAGGACGCTTCTTCTGCTCGGCTTCCTAGGTAGGAGCACAGGCTCCACGCAGGCACAGACGCCACAGCTCCCGAGTGCCGTGGCTCCCTGATCGGGGCTTCTGCAGCGCCAGAAGCCCCTTCGGGATGCTGCGAGGGGCTCCCGGTGGGCGGTGGTACGAACGCTGCGGCCGCCGCCGCCGCCACCGCCAGTCCTGCTGCTGTTGTTGCTGCTGCAGTCACGTGGGAGCCCCTTTAAGTTTCCATAGAGAGGCCTCTCCGGTGTCACATGATGGACATGATATAATGAAACAACATTGTGGAGAGGAAAGCATTAGGGGAGCCCACGGCTACGAAAACAAGTGAGTGAGAAGAGGTGGGAGGAAGAGAAACTACGCCACCTCTCCTGCAGCTGAGTGCACGCAGCAGCCTGGAGTGACAAGTGGGTGACGCCGGGGGGCAGGGAGCCGGGGGCCCCTGCCGCCGCCCCCCACGCGGAGAACAACTTCCAGCCGGCGGCCCCGGCCAGCACTGCACCTGTCCCCGGAGTCTGCGTCGCTCCTCGTCGTCAGCCCAGGGAGGCTCTCGGAGAGTGTGTTGTACAGATCGACACGCGCATCATTTGTCCCCTCGCCTCCCGCTCGGGAGGCAGGGACAGAGAAGGATTTGAGCGGCGTGTGTTCGGGGCACAGGTAAGTTCTGGGGGGTGGGGAAAGCGGGTCCGGCAGCACTTGGGGATGGGAATGTTCTGGTCTTTTTCTATCTCCGGGAGTGAGAAAAGGCGTCCCCGGCGAGGCAGATGGCTTTGGTTGTCAACTGGAAACGTTTCCCCCGTGGCCTCGGTTATTCCCCCTTCCGCACGCCCCTCGCTCCCACCCCAGGACGCCCCGGGGGCCCTCGCCGCCCCCTGGGAGGGGTCTGCCGTTCCCGGCCGGGATGCTTGGGAGGCGAGCGAGGGAAGGTGGGACTGTGGCGTGAAGCGGGCATGTCGAAGCCATTTCGCCATGTTTGTGTTGCTCAGAGCACTTTTTTCCTCTTTGCGGTGGCTTGATGCCACATGGCTCCTCCGGAGCTGCTGCCGGGCTGAGCGCGAGGGTTTTTTTTCAATGTCCGCATTCCAGCTAATGTTGCGCAGATAAAATTCAAACTTGAGGTAAACAGAAGAGGAGGAGGAGGAGGAGGAGGAGGAGGAGGAGGGAAGGGATGCGGGGGGGGACTGTTTCCATTTCGAGATCCCACCTCTTCACTCCGCTGAGACCAACATCCCGAACCTGGAGACAACTCTCTCCTTTCTCCCACGTCCCCCACCTTCGCTGTCAACAAGAAATGGGCGGGGGGTGGGGGTCATGCTTATTAGAAAGGACGCGGTGTCTCGGTTCTCCAAGGGGAGCAGCAACTCCCTGGAACTCAGGCCTCGGGTTCCGTCCCTCTCCTCGCCGGGAGGGACGCAGGATGCCTCGGTTTGCTCTGGAGATGGGGGTCGGCAGGGCACAGCGCTCCCGGGTGGGGCGAGGGGTGCCTGTCCCCTCTGACTCCCTCTGACTTCGGGAGACCAGACAGTGCGGGCGCAGGTTTGCCGAAGGCGGGGTGGGTGGGGCTCCAGATTTGCAGAAGGCAGGTGACCCAGCCAGCAGGTGTGCGGGTGGGCATTTCTGTTTGGTAAGTCTGTTGCGTTTGGCAGGACGACGTGGGAAGTCTTAAAGTGAGCGCGTGGGGAGAGCTGCGTCTTCTCTGTTTTGCTTTTGGGTCTTTTTTTCTTTTTTTTGCAAATTGGGGAGAAAAATGAAGACCACCCTCCAAACCCCCGTTTTAAATGTCTGTCTCAGCTCGCAGCTAGGCTGCTGCTGGGTGAGTGGCAGAGGATGAGCTTCGTCACGGGAGAACTGAGGCTCCTGACAGCTTGTAGCCATCTCCCGCCTCCCCCGCCCCGGGCGGAAGGTGTGGGTTGGGTGGTCCGAGAAGGGTGACGTCCGCGGCGGGGTGGTGACAAGCTCGGGATCCCTCAGAGCGCGAGGGCTCGCAGCCCCGGTCGCCAGGGAGTGCCGCGGCAATGAGGTGGCGGCCACGTGAGGGGTCTGCGGAAGCGCCGGGGCCAAGTGCGTAGCCGAGTCGTGACGGGGGACACTTAAGGTTTTAAGGTTTTTCTGCTGGCTCTCTTAGACATTCTTCATTTTTTTAAATTCTATTTTTTTTTTTTTTTGTCTGCCTGAGTTATTTCATAAATTCAAGTCTGGAAATTCTTTCTTCTGCTAGCTCTAACCTGCTGCTTAAGCTCTCATTTTTGTTTTTTATTTCACTGAATGTGTCTTTAAGTTCAAGGAGTTCTAGTACATCCTTTTTTAAGTTATTAATCTCTTTGTAAATTTCTTTCTTCCTATCCTGGATGTTTTTTCTTGTATCATTGTGTTGTTTTACAGAGTCATCTCTTATCTCATTGAGTTTCCTTAAGATAGTTACTCAGAATACCTTTTCAGTCATTTCAAGGATTTCTTGTTCTGTAAAGTCTGCTACTTGAGAGTTACTGTATTCTTTTGGCTGTGTCATATTTTCTGATTTTTCATTTTTCTCATATCTCTATGTTGATTTCTGGTCATGTGGTGGATTAGTTTCTTCTTCTATTACTCTGGAGTGGACATTGAGGAGAAAGACTTCTTCCTCTTTTTACAGGCTTCTGCAGTGACTCTCTTTGTGTTAATGAAGTCAAATACATGATGGGTCACCTGCACAATGGTTGTAGATGTTACTGAGGCA